CATTATATGGGATGAACCAAATGCAGGCGCTGCGGTCACTTTGGTGACATTGGGAATGAGCAGGTGGCATCACTAAAAGTTCCCAAAAGGGGACAGGCTTGGTTGTTCTAACTCCTGAAATTGAAGATTTCTGTACCCTACAGCCCGAAGATGTGTGAAGGCACCACATTGGCCAAACGATCTTTTGGGGCATTGTTTCATTTAGGTTTTTTTCTAAGAGCATATAAATAAGGTACCGGTGTCCTTACAGTCTGAGCAGTATTTGATGCAGACAAACATTAGAACACACAGAAAATACATTCATAATGGRGTTTTTAGCTGCATTTCACAGCCAAGGATGTATTTCTCATGGCCATTTTGCTCCTTGCAGCCGGTTGTGGCACACCAACACCGCTGTTATTTGCTGAGCTCAGCAAGGAGGATAAAAATCAGACAGAGTTTCCTGTTGGGATGACTGTGAACTACACTTGTCGGCCTGGATATGTGGAACAGCCACAGATGTCACCRACCATTACATGTCTTGAAAATCAAACGTGGTCTGAAGCCCAGGAGTTTTGCAAATGTAAGTTTTGCTGATGCTTCTAATTCACTTGAATTTCTGTGTGATGAAGCCTTGTAATTTCTCCTTTYCCACCCCCTCCTCTCGAGAGTTTGGGCAGGCTCCTAAAAACAGTGATCCTTTCCTATGACACTGAGTTAAAGGAAAAAAACAGCTCATCCCAACCCCCTGCCACGGGCAGGGACACCTTGCACTGTTCCAGGGTGCTCCAAGCCCTGTCCAGCCCGGCCTTGGACAATTCCAGGGATCCAAGAGCAGTCACAGCTTCTCTGGGAATTCCATCCCAGCCCCTCCCCACCCTCACAGCCAGGAATTCCTTCCCAATATTCCATCCATCCTTCCCTCTGGCACTGGGAAGCCATTCCCTGGCTCCTGTCCCTCCATCTCTTGTCCCCAGTCCCTCTCCAGCTCTCCTGGAGCCCCTTTAGGATCTCTGACCTCTCCGCAGAGCCTCCTCTTTTTCAGGCTGAACACCCCCAACTTTCCCAGCCTGTCCCTCCATCACGTCCTCACCCTTTTCTCAGTTWTGCTTTTTCCTCTCTCTTTAGTGCTGCAATGCCCTCCACCTCCAAATATTGACAAAGCAAAGCACAACAGCCAGCACCTGGACGTTTTCCCCGCTGGGATAGTTGTGAATTACAGCTGTGACCCTGGGTACAGCCTCCTGGGAGAGGAATCCATCATCTGCACCGATTCTGGCAACTGGAGCCTCCCTCTCCCTCAGTGTGCAGGTACGCTGCAGCCCTAAGCTGGGAATTAGGGATAGTCTGGGAGTTTCTGCCTGTAGGACTCATCCTCACCCTTCCCAAAATTTGAAATCTTTCACCCTCTCCATTTTTACCCGTTTTGCATGTAAATTTTAATCTGCACATACTCAAAATGTATTTTACAACTGCTTTTTTAGCTGACATCCCTGTTTCTCCCCATGTTTTCTTCCCTGATAGGTGGCTGTGGTGCACCTCCAAACCTCAGCTTTGCAGAGCTGACCAAGGAATCCAAAACKAAGCTGGAATTTGCTGTTGGTGACACCGTACGCTACAGCTGCCGGCCAGGACACTTGAGACGCCCCGGAATGCCCCAAACTCTGACTTGTCTCCAAAACCACACGTGGTCTGAAGCCCTAGAGTTCTGTAAAAGTGAATAGCTCCATCAGTTTGGTGTTGGTTGCTGAAGTTGTCTGTTTTGTGGGTTCCTCAGAGCAATTCTTGAAAAAAAAAGAAAAGGATTTGTACATGGCTTTACTAGTCACATGGTCTAGGCCTCTTTGATTTTGGAAATCACATTTTTATTGGTGTCAGAGCGTGGACAGAACCTTAGATAGCTGCTCATAGCGTGTTACACTGCTGCAAAGGAGGAGTTTAAACTCAGCCTTGTTCTTTCCCAGGGAAGCAATGTAAATACCCAGAAAGCCCCAAGAATGGCAGAGTTGTTGTTCTGACAGATCTCCTTTTCGGGTCAAGCGTGAACCACACGTGTGATGAAGGGTGAGTCCCTGCTGCCTTTGTACCTCGGTGTCTGGTGTTGGGTAAAGGATCAGAGCCCATCCTYTGCACTGCCATTCTCTTACAGCACGCCAGAATTGCAATTTTGSTTCCAATTTCGCTGTAGTTTCCTCCTCTGGAGAGGGAGAAGGGTCTTGTTTTTCTTCTCTTGTGCTCAGTAGATTAATTTGCAAACCTCAGTTTCAGTTTGCCTTCTTAGATAGCCTCGAGCAGGAGTGAGAGCAGGAGCAAGCCCGTGCTGCAGGGAGCTCCAGCCCTTTGGAAATCAGTTCTGATTTAGCACCTGACCAGGAATTTTTGGGATCAGTGTTGCTCCTCTTGGATCTGGGAAGAAGGAACTTGGTGTTTTTCATTCCCATGTGTCAAAGCAGCAGAGAGACCTCAAGAATCAGCTGCAATCAGGAGGCTGCAGAAGGAAACCTCTGCAGACAATTGTGGGAGTGCAAAATCCAACTGAAGGACTTGTTGTGAGCTGACATTTCTCTCTCTGCACCTCCAGGTACAGAATGGTTGGACARTCCCACAGGAGATGTGAGGTTTTGGGACGAGATGTCGCATGGACTGGCCTTCCTCCCATCTGTCAGAGTAAGTAGGTCACCACCAGACTGGGGCCAGAACTGGAAAATTAAGTCYTTAAAGTTAAAAAGCATTTCCTTTAAATAAATAGAATTAGAGGAATAAGACCATTAAAGCGTAATATTCATCTGGGACAGGTTTATTATGCTTGCATGTTTGGTTTCTTCTAAAAATCTTCCAGATGTAGGCCTTTGATCTGTCACAGCAATGCAGGRTGAAGAGTTGTGAGATGCCTGCAGGGACTTGTCCCTTTTGTTTCACAAAAACAAATAAGAAATCAAGGAAGAAATGTGTTTTGCAGAAGAAGAGTGGGATATTGAGTAGGACTGAAGCAGAATCTTCCAAATCCTGCACTGTTTTCCATAGCACAAGGATGTTTTACAGGGATTGATCATAGGAATGAGTCTTCAGATGGAATTGCTTTGGAAGGCACAAGGTTGGGACAGTAAAGCATTCATGAGAATGAGAGTAATGACAGATTTCTACCCCATCTCCTGTATTTATTCAAATGTATTTGCACTATTCTGTTCATGGACACAAAACTCTGTTTGTATATATAATACTGTGGAAACCTTAAATGAACTAAAATCACTCAGTTCTTGAAATGATTCATTTTTGACTCTGGGTGAAACTCCCCTGAGCACACTGAGAACGGATTTTAGGGATGTGCTAATTGCAGCACACACTTGGCTTTGTACCCCTAAATATGAATTTCTCTTCCAGGAGTGACGTGCCCAGCCCCACAGATCCGGAAYGGGAGGGTGACTGTCCTCAAGCCCCGCTACACCTACAGAGACTCTGTCACCTTCAGGTGCCACAGAGGCTTCACCTTGCGAGGCCACCCCACATCCCAGTGCCAAGGTGACAGAAAGTGGCACCCACCTSTACCTGTCTGTGAGCAGGGTAAGAATCAGTGCTTGGGCTTGTCAGGATTGCACATTCCTGATGATTTCCCCTGCCTGYTCACCAAAGTCAAAGCTGGCTTTATTTTTCCTGTTTGCCCCAAGTATTTTAAGGAGAACCCAGAAATTTTTCCTTTCGTTTATGCCTCTCTTTACATGCAGGAGATGAGCCAGGGTTGGGGTAATGCTGTAAGTATTGGCATGATTTAATTTTCTCACACTGCTTGTTCCAATCCATAATCCACAATCCACAAATCTTTTCATTTCCTGAATGAGGACTTTGGCAGCTTTGGGACACTGATTATCAAAAAGGATTGAATTGTTGGCTGGAAATGTAACAGCAGGATGATGGGAAATGAAGGTAAATTTGTGCGTTTTATTTGCTCAACCACATTTTTAAACTCTTAATGCTGTATCTAGATGGAATGGCAGAACGTTATCACCGTCCTGACACCACAACAAAGCCAGGTAGGTCTCTTATCTGAAGGGGCAAAATTAAAATTTGATTTACTAATCACTAACTCCTCCTCTCAACCTGTTCTGATTTTCTGAGGTAACTTCAGAGGGTTGGGCAGGGCTGGCTCTGTGTTGGAGTCAGTGCTGTGGGAGAAGTGTTCAGCCTTCCCCAGCTGCTCAAAAGTTTTCCCTCTTGCCTCTCTGAGCTCTCTTTTGATCTGCACATCTCTGTTTTCAGTGCTGCACTGCTCCAAGCCTGCACATATCACCCACGGGTCTTTCCGTGGCCCAGCAAAAGCAGTTTTTCCTCCTGGAACATCTGTAAACTACATCTGTGAGCCCGGCTTCTCTCTCCTGGGGACAGCATCCCTTTATTGTACATCATCTGGAGCCTGGAGCCATCCCCCTCCCRTCTGTCAAGGTGTGTTTGGGCTGCAGGGAGCTGAGAACAAAGGACATTGAACAARTCTTGCCTTAGGGGAAGGTTTGTAGAAGGGCTGAATCTGAGCACAGAATGTGTGATAAGTACAAGCTCACGTTTATAATCTTCCCAAAGCCTGCTGGAGTTACAGRGGTCCGGGTTGTTGAGTTCAGGGAAGAAATTCCAAGGGAATAGTCAGGGCTGTAAAGGCACAATGGCTCAGCCACTTTCTGGCAATCCCTCAGCATCCCATTTTTCATCTCTCCCTGCTTTTGCAGCCGTGGAGTGTCCGCAGCCTCCGAACATCACCAACGGGAGGCTCAAAGGCAACACCTCTGGCACTTTTCCCTCCGGAGCCGCTGTATCCTACAGCTGCAATCGGGGTTATTCACTCGTTGGGAATGCTTTCATCAACTGCACGGTGTCGGGAGTCTGGAGCCAACCCCTCCCTCAGTGCAAAGGTGGGTCTGTGCTGCCTTTGTTGTTTGGAATCGGCTTCTGCAGTCATAAAAGAAAGGAATTACCCCGCGGAACAAGAATTAATTCCTGGCTACACGCAGAAGGAATCCAAGAGCAGTGTGGTTCTCATATTTTGTATTCTCTCTTTTTACTGCTTCCAACTGCAGAGATCAGATGTGAATTCCCGGACGTCCAAGGTGTTAAAAAAGCCATTAAAGGAAACACTTACCGCTCCGGGACTAACATCACTCTTGAATGTGATGATGGTTTCATGCTGGAAGGCATCAGCCACACTCAGTGCCAAGAGGATTTCAGCTGGGACCCTCCTGTGCCAGCCTGTAAACTGAGTGAGTAGAATGGGAGCGAAGCAAAGATCAAACACAAACACATAAATGCATTTCAAACGTGCAAATGTCATTCTGTCTTTTAAAAAGCACGTAAGGGTGTGGTTTTAAGAAATCTGGTGTTGTAGGTTTTAGCAGTGAGACRCTGGCACAGGGAAGATGTGSCTGYCCCATCCCTGGAAGTGCCCAAGGCCAGYTTGGAWGGGGYTTGGAGCAATTTGGGACAGTGGAAGRTGTAKAACTGGATGAACTTTAAGCTCCTTCAACCCAAATCAGTCCATGACTCTAAAAGCTTTATTTGTAAAGTGATTAATGCTGTATTTTGGTTGTAAATTGCTGATTTTCCTTTTTTTTTCCCTTCCCTCCAGAGTCCCCCAGGTCTGGGTCAGTAGGSCTAGGTAAGCAGCTTACAAACATTTTGCATTTGAGCTCAGTGGCYTCGGGGGCACAGCAGATTCCCCTTTCTGTGTGTTCTGTGTTTCACAAAACACAGCCAGGATAACCCGAGCTCTTCTCCCTCAGGAGTGGCAGCCGCAGGACTTCTGCTGCTCCTGGGGGCAGGCGTTGTCTGGAAAATCATTTCCAAGCAGAAGGAAGGGTAAGGCAGTTTCTAGCTGTTTGTTCATGTCCTTGCYAAATCCCAAGATTAAACACTCGATACACTTGAAATATTTGCCTCAGTGTGCCCGGGTGCTGTAAATCCGTGCCTTCAGCTCAGGCGTGTAAATGACACAACCTGGAATCCATGGTGTGGTTCTGTCATTTTATTTCAAGTCTCTCYTCCTTAAAGGAAACCAACTTGAGTGTTCTGTTACAAAGAACATTGTTTTTATTCACTGCTTTCTCCTTTCTCACGTAGCTATTACCGTACATATGAAAACTGTAATTCCAGAACACCCCTGAACCCAGCAAGTGAACAGAAAGGCTCATGTCTTCCACAGGAGGTATGGATTTGTATTCCTCAACATAAAATATCAGTTTTAGCTGTAATAATTATATTGTCACTTGTTTATATTGCTGACTACATTGTCTCCTTGAATGACTATTTTCTTAATATAATCATTCAAGTAGAAACCTCTTTCCCMTTAATCTTCAGGTAGAGTGTTTCCTTTTGCTGAATAAAAGGTATTTTGAACATATTGAGGTTTTAAAACAYCCTATTTTTCTTTCTGACACCACCTTCAATGTGTGTCTTTCCATAATCTGAGTGGATGGTGTGCACAGATCAGGCTTCCAGACCAGTCCTTGCTTCTGGCATAAATTTTAATTTGCATGGATTACAGGAGAAAAACTGCCTTAGCGGTAGTCAGAAGAGGACACTGAACTTGGTTTCTGATTTTATTTTTATTGCTTTCACACTTATTACAATTATATTTTTACTTAAAGGTGAAKCTACTTTCTATGCAGCCAACAATGAATTTTCCCTTTGAGTTCAGTCAGCTTTCACTACAAATGAAAMAATGTAAACTGTCCTGTAAACAATGGCCCTTTCGGGTTGTTTTGGTGATTTCTTTGAAACAAAGCACTTCCCAGAAATTCCATCCTCCCTCCCCGGGTGGTGATGGAATCTCTACATATCAGTGTGAAAACAGGAAAGCTCTAATTTTAACAGGATATCAATTTTTTCCTAGGCTGGAAATCCGTGCTGCTGCTAGCCAAGCACTGGGCTCCTTCCCAGCAGGGAGGAAGTGCTGCTCACATTGAGACTGGAATTCTGTGGCAAAAAAAAAAAACAAAAAAACCCCACATTTTACTGTAAATCTTTAATGCTCCTTCTGCTCCTATTGGTTACTGGAAAGATCTTACGAGGCTCAGACTGCACAAAATGTGGATGCTGCCTTGGAGGGAATTCTGTGCGCTGCTCCTGATGCAGAATATTTCCTTTATACCCAAAAATTTGGATAACCAAGTGGGTAACCCCAAGCTTTAGTAAGGAGAAATAATGAGTAATGTACTGATCATAACCCCCATATACATCTTGATTTCCTTCCAGCAATGCTTATGTGCAGTGTTCCTTTATGAATGCTTAA